GGTTCCTCCCAGGACCAGGCGTCTGTTTACCAACAAACTGCCGGCGCTCCGCAGCGACGCATTCCGACGCGTTGAATAAGCTGCCCGCGCTGTCGGTCTGTTCTCTACTGCCCCGCAGGTCCCTGACGGCAGGGTCAGATCCCCAGGGTGGGAGAGGGCGCGGCAGGTTCCCTGCGCCCCCGCCGACGCAGCGCTCCGCCACCCAGGTGCTCCCTTTGCCCCTTGGGCGTCACAACCTGCCTGCACCCTCCGTTTCTGCCTTCATGACCACGGAGTTCCCAGACCGCCCGCCCAATCGCCCAGCAACCCAGGCTTTCCTCTCGGAGAGGACCCCAGGATCGCTGGGCCGAGAGCGTGCGCACCGCCCCCTCGCATCTCCTAGTTCTGAATTTCCCGACCGCAGGCTGCCCCGGGGGGCGGGCCTTGGCTCCAGGCCCCTGTGAGGTCACCGCGAGCGGTGGCCAATCCGGGGCGTCTAAGTGGGCGGGGCCCCCGTCGGGTCCCGGGAACTGAACCCGAGAACCAGAAGAGGGGGGCCCCCATGGACTTAGGGGGGAGGGGAAAAGCCATGGGGGCAACCCCCCGGAACCCCTTTCCCAGGCGCGCGCGCTCCGCTGGAAGAGGCGCAGAGAGACACTTTCCCCGGGATCTTGAGTGCAGGGGAAGCTAGCTGTGGGGCTCCTTCGGCCCCAACGCCCGAGGCTCGGAAAAGAGAGAGTTGGCAGACAAGAGCGAACTACGTGCGGGGTCATGGCCTAGGCCCTTCTGCCCCCGCCCCGGCCGCAATGTCCTCTTTGCCCTGTCCCCTCCCTGGCCCCGACGCCTCCAAAGCCGCCTTCCCGGATACCGCCCCCGTCCCATCGGTAGTGGCTGCCTACCCACTAGGCCTGTCCCCCGCAACCGCAGCCGCCTCCGATTTGCCCTACTCTGGGCCATACGGCCACCTCCTGCCCTATCCCTACCCCGGGCTGACGACGCCCGACGACGCCTACCTGCCCTGCCAGCAACCCACGGCGCCCTCTCAGCAGGAGCGGGAGGCAGGTAAGTCCGGCCGCGGCTGCTCTTCCCACCTTCGGGGTCTTGCTCCTGTGCGCCCCTAAACCTCGTCCTCGCCTGGTTGGGCGCAGCTAGCGGGATTCAGACCTTAGATTCCACGGGTTCTGGGGGTGGGAGGAGGGCAAAGGGATGGGGCGGGAGGCATGGGGGAGGGGCAGAGGCGAGTTGATCTAGGTCTCCTTTCAAGATCGACCTGGTTTCGATTTTCAGTTGTGTGAAACGGCGCAGCGGGGCTCCCTACCCCACCCCCTGGAGCCCTGGAGTTGTGTGTACCTACGGGTAACGGAAAACTGAAAGAATCCAGATGTGGATGTGGGTGCCTAACCCCTTCCCCGGGATTCTCTCAGTCGTGCATGCGCCTTCCCCAGGTCGCCCCTCTCCGGTGCGTTGGTTTTGTCTTAGAAAACAGTGCTCAAGCCCAAAGCCTGAAAACTAGAAATCAGGTCCCAGCTGGAGGGCAGTAGAAGTGGGGGCTTATTTGGGGGCCCCTTTTCCCTCTTCTCCTGGACTTTGCCCAAAGCGTCTGACTGAGACTGGAAGCTGACCTGAGAGAATCTGGGGCTAGGACTCTATCATCCATTGTTCTAAGAATATAGCCACAGGTGGGTCAGGCAGTCTCTCTCATTGTAAACCACAGCCTTCCAGCCAAAGAAGCAGGCCAGCCTCTGTCATCTTTGCCTCTTGCCCTTGGGGTAGCTTAGGCCCCAGTTCCCATTGCCTAGAGCAACTTTGAGCTCCTGAGAAAGTGCTCACTGGAGGTCATCAAAGAAGCCAAGAAGCTGTCTTCCTGGTCCTGGTCCTTGCATGGACAGAACCCATGCAACACTATACATACACCACCTGTACTGGCTGCCGGCTTAGCCCTCAGGTCCCCTGCACTCGCTGCCTCCCACCTAATTCCCCCACAATTGTTTTTGGCAGTTTCCTCCAAGGTTGCACATCCACTGGGTGACTTCGCTGGAGTCAGCCCAGGACCAAGACATCTTCCTTGCCTTCTGTCACTCTGTTGAGACACAGAAGCTCATAAACATCAGAGCTAGGAGTGACCCTAAAGATTTGGGAGCTCCACCTCCTTGATGTACAGATAAGCACACTGAGGCCCAAAGAAAGGGTGTGCATGGGCAAAGGACCCAGCCAGTTTTCCAGGCTCTGCGCCCTTGCAAATGGACTTTCACTGCATGAGGCCAGAAAAGAGGATTTTAGGGAACTTCCTCAGAGCCCCCAAAAGTTAACTGCCTTCTGTGCCAGAACTAGGGTTGCCTCTCCCAGGCTACTGAGTCTCATTGGAGGAGGAGCTGTTGTGGAGGGTGTACTACAAATGATCTCGTTTCTACAAACAATCCCTTGGAGGCACATTTGTGTGTGAGTGTGTGTTAGTGGGTGGGGTGGGAGTAAGATAACCCTGTCCTTAAGATAACTGTTAAAAATGGGGATGGTGTTTTCAGCCCTGTTTGCTTCACTCCCCGCCTTCCCTTTGCTTGGTTTAGGGACGAGGGAGTGGAGAGTTGCTTTTCTTTACGGAATTTCCCCGGGTGTAACGAAAACCACAGTTGTCCTTAGACTAGATTGTAGCTTTTTTCTACAGAAACTGGTGGGCTTGGCTTACTGTAGATTGAATGATTGGAGTGTGGGAGAGGGCTTGGGGTCCTCCTTTTGCCCTCACTCCGTGTCCA